CTGAAAAATAGAGTCATCAAACGAGCTTTAGTTAATATAAATTCTTGGTAAAAGAAGTTAATCCAAAGAACTCCAAAATCCAAACATTTAAACCATATCTAAACAGAAACAAATGCTACTAAAGAGAAAATAATACATGAATAAAATCTTTTCAAAAAGCTCTTCCTGGTATGAAGGTGGTTCCGAAGGAGGATGAACTCTTACCATATGGGTGAATACCAACTCCACCACTGTCGGAATGGCTGACCACAATGCCGGCTTTGGGGCCAATCAGCCTAGGCGGTTGCCTGGGCCTCGCATCGCCAGAGGGTCTCAAATAAGAAGTACGTAGTATTAGTAAGACTCCATGTAAAAAAATAATTTGAGGGCCTTAATTTTAACTCATAGTGGCTGGAATTGGAAGTGGAAGTGTAGAGTACGACTCTAAACTCAACTCCATAGAAAACAACTCAACAACGGTCACCGAACAAGTCCCTCCAACATCTCAAATTTGGTGATTCCTCTCAATCCTCACTCCCCAGAGAGCGAATTTCTCTAATTAAAAGTAATCTCCTTTTAATTTTAGTCTGTATCAAGTTTGCGATTTGCTGTAAGTTGATTACTGTGCTAAGTACTTATAGTGTGGTTGATAGATTAGGTTTAAAACTGTATTGTACCATGGAAGTGGCCCATTTCGTGGAAGATGACTCACAGAGTGAAGAGAGTGATTTTGAAAATGTTGAAAGGGAGGATATTGGAAGTCGTGGGTTTTCAAGTGATGAGGAATGGATTGGTAGTAGGAAAAGCTTATTTCCTACAATTTCAATATGCTCACATAAACCCAGATGGACGGGTTGGAAGCATCTTATCTTATGATAGTGATAAATCTGAAAATTATTTGCTTACACCATATCAAAGTGATGAAGAAGGTAAGAGTGGGGCAAACAAGGAAAGTGTTACATACAAAGTTGATGATGATGCCACACTCAAAATGCTAAAATGGAAAGTGGGTATGAAGTTTGCCTCGCCTGAAATATTCAAGAAAAAGGTAGTGAGGTATGTTGTTATTGCAGGGTATAGTATTAAATTTATTAAGAGTGAAAAGGTCAAGATTGCAGCAAACTGTAAAGAGGGGTGTGTTTGGAGGATATACGCTTCATGGGATGGACTGAAAGAGTCATTTGTGGTAAAGTCTGTGAATCGTAATCATACTTGTAATAGACAAGATTATGAGAATATACAAGCTAAACCAAGGTGGTTAGCTGAAGAGTATTTGGAGGAGTACATAAAAGATCTTAACTGGTCGAGGAAAGCTTTACAACAATCAGTAATGGAAAGATTTGGTGTGCGTATTCAAAGATTTGCTTGCTACAATGTAAGGAAACGAGCCCACGAGATGTTACATGGAAATATGGAATATTAAAAGGACATTACAGTAAACTTGGTTCATACGTGAGGGAGATGAAGAGAGTTGATCCTAATATGACTTCTGTATTAGTCATTGATAAGCCAAATATTCCTACAGAACCCGATATTTTTAAGAGACTTTATGTGAGCTTTCCTGGACTGAGAGATGGGTTTCTAAGTGGATGCAGATTTGTGCTATGTTTAGATGGATGTTTTTTAAAGACCTTTTTGGGTGGGATGTTGCTATGCGCGGTTGGAAGAGACAGAAACAATCAAAGGTACCTTGTTGCTTGGGCAGTGGTGGAGGCCGAAAAAATGATTCTTGGAGTTGGTTCTTAGACATCCTGAAACATGATTTGTCTGGGTTTGGTGATGAGAACTCAACCATTTGCTCTGAAAAACAGAAGGGACTCTGTAATGCCGTTAGAGAGCATTTTCTAGCTGTAGAACATGGGAATTGTGTTAGGCATATATATGTAAATTGGTTGAAAAAACATAAGGGAGAGCTGCTAAGGTGTTTGTACTGGAAAGCTGTTAGAGCATATGCTAGAGCTGACTTTGATAATGCGCTTGAGGAAATGAAAGGTGTAAGTAACAAGGCTGTTGAAGACTTCATATTACAGAATCCAACCACATTCTGTAGATGCTACATGATAATCTTGAGCAAGAGTGATGTAATTGTGAGCAATATGGCAGAGACATTTAATGGATACATCATTCAAGCAAGATCCAAACCCCTTATACACATGCTTGAGGACATAAGGTTGCTAGTTATGCAAATGATATATGATAATAGGTCTGTTATGATCTCGAGACATGATGACATTTGTCCCAGAGTGAGGAAATGTCTAGAGACTGAAAAAGAATATGCGAGGAAATGAGTTTGTTTTGCAGCTAGTGCGTTTGAGTTTCAAGTTATATGTCGCCTGGATATGTTCAATGTGAATCTAAATGAAAAGACATGCACATGTAGGAAGTGGGATCTAACTGGCATTCCATGCCTCCATGTCATCTCATGTTGCAATTGGCTTCGGGTTCCTCCTGAAAACTTTGTCCTCGACTGGTTTAGGAAAGCTAAATACCTACAAAGCTATCACACTTCAGTGAAACCAATAAATGGTGAAAGACATTGGGAGAAGGTAGAATATGCTTTAAGTCCTCCACTAGTAAAGATTAGTGCAGGTAGGCCAAAGAAAAATAGGAGAAAGCGGGCACATGAAAGATTTGATAAGAAAGGGAAGCTAAGTAAGCATGTAGTACAAATGACTTGTACTACGTGCCAAGGGAATGACCATAACAAAAGAACATGCCCTCAAAAGGGAAATATATCAGGCACACAACTCCAAAAGCCTCCAGTAAGCACTTACTATTTGTTTAGAAAATACTGATGGCTGGAACTCACTTTAAAATTTATGTTATGTTGCTAAGTATGTTGTGCTAAGTACATTGGAGGAAGCTTGTTTCATTGCGCCCGTTCGGGTAGAAGGGGAATGACAGTAACAAAAAGAAGAAGAGACCGACGATACAGATAGACCTATACGGGGAGGGCCAAGATTGCAGTGGCAATGAGAGAAGAAGACATTGGTTGATATGGAAGGAGGTCAGAGGCAGTTACCGGACATGAGCGACAATGTTCACAATGAGTGACGACAATATAGGCAGTGGTGCGACAGATCGGAAGAGACAATATCCATTGCATCTTAAGGACCGAAGGAGAGAGGCCGGGATACAGACTTGCATAGAGAGAGCCAGATAGTTATTGTAGAGGGCTTTTCCGTTCATTTACTAGTATCCAGTCTCTTTCACCTGATCCTATTTCTTTCATGGAAAAGTTAATAGTACTTGGTATTATCTTGGAAAAAGCACGGGATAAATAATTGTGGTTGGGCTCATGTTTTTATAGGATTGTGTGTTTCATTTTTTTTTTTATAAAAAAGTAGGTCATGTCATCACGTGTATTATCACAGGAGAGGCTCGGCGCTTGACGCCGTAAGAAATCGTCGGAGGAAGACAATGAACGATAACTCCAATTTTGAAAAGTGTTTAGAAAATTCAAAGAAAAATATTTGGAAGTGTGCATCAACAAGGAGATCTCCGGGCCATCTTTCTTTTTTGTTTCCAGCTAATCTTGTCATCGAAAAGTTCATCAGGAAAGTGATATTAGCGGATTCGTTTTAAAAAACAATACAAACAGATCCAAAAAATCCAAGGATGAAGATGATTTGGAAGTCTCCTTGACAAAGCACTACTCCTAGTATTTTTATTTTTATTTTCCCGACACTTTTGAAAATCAGAGTTACCGTTAGGGATAGCAACAGGGCGAATTGGGGACGATTTTACATAAAATCATTCCCGCCCCTTTGGGTAATTTCCACGCCTCGTAACCGTCCCATTTCCTTACGGGTAATTTATACTCAAACCATAACTGCTCCAATGGGTAACGGGTATAACCACGGGTAATCGCGGGTAACCGCTTTATTAAACGAGTCATTGATATTTTAATTAAAAAAAATAATATTTTAAAAGGCGAAAAATTGCATCGCCTAGACGACTCTAGACGTCAAACGCCTCTTTAAAGTTTCTTATATCTACAAGACGAAAAAAGAAGGCAACCTAAATTAATTCGAACCTAAATATAACTAAATTACGAAAAAATCTGATAATAATCAAACATGATTATAAAAATCTATTATGAACTTTCATTCACACTATAGTTAGGGGGTGTTTGGATTTAGTTCTTAAAACTGCTTCTGCTCCTTTAGGGAGCATAAGCAGAAGTTGAAGTGTTTTGATGAAAGTGAAGAAGTAATTATGGTGCTCTAATTTATTCCTACAATCAGTTTTTTTAGAAGCTGAGGGATACCAGCTTCAGAAAATTGATTCTGATTCCGCTTCTACTTTAAAAAAGAAGCAAAAGCAGAACCAGTTCCAAACACCCCCTTAGTACATCTATTATCCATATAGACACGATGATAAAAGAAAAGTCTTATTAGTTGTGGGACAAATAATAGATAAAAATGTAATAAAAATATAACTAAAAATAAAAGGGGCGGGTAATGGGCGGGCATGTATAAAACCGTAACTGTACTGTTACCCGTAAAAATAAAATGGGTATTCTTCGCCCTGTACCCTTTACCCGGTCAATGCAATTTTCCTCATTTTGACCGGTGCGGTGCAGATATCCATCAGATCGGTTGCAATAGTCATCCCTAGCTAGTTACCGTTCATTGTCCTCCTCCTGCGACTTCTAACGGCATTAGGCATTGTGCCCTTCCTGTGATACTGAAGTTTAAATACATGATCTATTTTATTAAAAAATGAAACACATAACTCTAACTAGCGAAAAAACGAGTTCTTGTACCTTTTCACACTTTTCCCTATTGTTTTTGTCATTGTTTTTAAAGAAAATTAGATATTGGCAAGAAGTATTAGGTCAGTCCGTATACCGTGCAACCGGTATACAGTGAGCACGGTACTCCCAGGGGTAAAATTCGCGTGAACAATACCTTGCATTTGTCTCAATTTTTTTCGTGATGTAAATCCTTTGTTTTGATATGTAACTCGTGCTATTGTTAAATGTAAATACTGTGTATTCAAATGTAACTCATTGTGGTGTAACTCGCATTATGAAAAATGTAAATCATGTGTAAGCCAGATGTAACTTGTAGAGGAAAATTCACATGTAACTCACGCTAATAGATATGTAACTTGAGATATATGAAAATGTAAATTGTCTCAATAATAATGTAACTTTTTTAGATGAATAAAAAAGTTAAGCTACTGGGTAATCCATATCATCTTTTCAACGTAAGGAGGCAGAACTGCAGAAGTTCAAGTCCTCATCCGGTGTTAGGCGGCCACTGGTGAAGCTATTGGCAACGGAGGTTATTTTTTGAAGGCTATTGTCCCGACAAGTTTAGTTGACAAGTTTAGCCTAGGTTTTTCTCTATGGATGAGATGATAAGAGCGAGCGATGGAGTTCTCTTTGCGGATGGTTTGGTGGGGGCGGCAATCGGATGAAGTAGTTCTGTTTGCTTTCTTCCGGCTCCAAATCAAACTTGCTGGGCACGATGAGTCTACGATGAGGATGGTGGCTGGGGGAGGGAGAGTGTTGTTGGGAAGGGGCGGCCGCGATACTGCGTCGGTTTGCAACCGGGGCACCATCCTCAAGGTGCGCCGGTTACCCAATCTGCCGTATTAGGTAGTTATAAAACGTATAGGTTGTTGAAGAATGAATAACAGAATAAGCCGTCGACTCAAGAAAAGCGGTAAACGACAAGGAGTAATTGCTACCGACCTAAAAAAATTAACACGGTCGTACTCAATCTTTGATTATTGCGTGTACCATTGACAACAAAATAAATTATTTAATGCAAGTGCATTTCGTTAATATCTTGAGATATGCTTGTTTATTTGGTCTTTATTAATCATTTATTTCATATTTCTTTTTATAAAGCATGAGCACCAACCTAATTAATTTTCCTAGTAATAATAGAATTTCACGAAATTTAAAAAAAATATGAATAGCCGCAGTGTAGGAGTTTAAAAAATTAAGAGCTTTTTAAAGTGGAGTGTATTACGCGTACTGTTTACTACAATGCACTTGCACTATTTGTGAAATATATTCTTTTTCAAAAAAGGAGATAAATATTGGGAAAATGGAAACTAATAATCCAAACTTTTAGCGGTCTTCTTACAAGGCTAAAGGGTCAAATAGGTACATGAACTAACTTAAAGTGTTCAATTAGCCCCTTATATAGGAGGTTCTGCCCGGTCTTCGTCAATTGGAGCGGTTCCCGGTGGAATTTGTTGATGAAATTTTTTGAGCATCTTCTTCATTAAGTCTAGTTTACCCATATCAAATTTCAGCTAAAAATTAAGTCGGGAAGGCAGTCAAATGATTTTCCGAAATGGACTGCGCTGTTTAACTGCGTAGTTATCTTCAAAAAATCATTTGACTGCGTTCCCGATTGAATTTTTAGCTGAAATTTGGTATGGGTAAACTAGACTTAATGAAAAAGATGCTCAAAAAATTTCATCAAAAAATTTCACCGGGAACCACCCCAATTGGCGACGGCCGGGCAGAACCTCTTATATAAGGGGCTAATTGAACACTTTAAGTTAGTTCATGTATCTATTTGACCCTTTAGCCTTCTTACAATAGGCCCACCTTTTCGTTATTCATGAATAATCCAACTTTTGCACCTCATCTTCATTCACCGGTCCTTGACCGGTTGATGACCTCTTATTCTAAGTTATTTTATTATCTTTGCAAACCATTATACCATAAATCTCACCTTTTACAAAGATAATATTTTGCAAAGATAAGAAAATAACTTGAATTGGAATAGCAGATCATTAATCGATCAGAGACCAACGAATGAAGATGGGGTGCAAAAGTTGGATTATTCTTGAATAACGAAAAGGTGAGACTATTATAAGATGATCGCTAAAAGGTTGGGTTATTAGTTTGCATTTTCCCATAAATATTTAGGAACACAGAAGGTTTTATTAGTTGGTATTCCCTCAGTTCTACAAAAGGTGAAACTGTGACACCGCACCCGAACGTCCATGAAAATTCAATTAACAATTCAAAGTTTATGTATTGAATTTCCGATTCCCAAACAATTGTAAAACAATTAATGTTTTACGTAATTAATGATCGATTATTGTACTGTTTGAACTCGTATATTAGTGTCGGGCTTGCAAATACTTATTTGGGCCTTGTTAATGGATAAAAGAGCCCAACATTATCTTAATAGTGATGCATAACCTTTCAAGACAAATTGAGGAAGGTTGGGCAGCCCAAACATTTTTGGCCCAACCTGCTAAAAATACTAAGTATTCGAGAATGGCGTCCTAGACCCACTCGGGGGTGACCCACATGGCTATTAGTCCAACAATATGAATGACAAATATCAAAATAAGTGATAGAATGACTAGGGAAGAATACAAATGTCTATAGCCCCATCTTTGACATTATTGAGCTAAATAATGGGAGTATGATTTTCCTTCTATAATATCCATCAAGTAAATTATTGAGATGAACCTACACATATTGGAGATCAATAATGTGATGTAGGAAGTTGACTTGTTCTAAATAAATTCGGATGAGTACAAAAAGACATCTTTAGACAAAAGATAAAAAAAAAGGACCCATCTTCCCATTTTGGAAGTATTGGTAGATATTTTGGACCCCAAAATGATTGGGATCAATTGGGAACCACTCCACATGATATTAGTACTTGCAAGACAAATAAAAATGGGTGAGAAAACTTACCTTGGCCGGCCAACATGGAGAGGAGCTGCACAAGACTTGATAGGAATCAAATTTTGGGGCCACCATCTCTATTTTCGCACAAATTGGTGTGTTGTTTGTCTCCCTTCATTATGGGAGTTGTACTCGACCAAATAACGTGAATGAGGTGTCCTTGGATAGAATGTGAAGTCTAGTTTCATATTTGAGTGGTCTCTGTGCGAGAGGGGAGAGTTTATCATACACAAATCGAGCTGGAGTGAACTGTTGTCTGTAAACTCGAGCAGTGAGAGTGCAGAGGTTGTTTGGTTGATATCTCGAGTTACACCAATCCAAATAAGGCGTGCAAGATACCAAACGAAATCTCTCACGAAGAGGAGTCCGTGAAGGTCTTGTTTGCATCCATCGGAGTAGTGGAAGGCTTTCAAATCGTCCGAGCAGAACACGACCTCGCAGAAACGGATTTACTCTTCTAAAGTGAGTTTTAACCCCAAAACCTTTCCTTTCATTTTCCAAATGATATGAACGATTGGTGGAACTATTATAAACTACTCCAAGTGTATAATATGTCCTTGTTAAGTTATTTTATTGGTGTAATTGTTAGATACTAACCTAGAGCAAATCTTGAAAAACTAGGAAACGAGTTAGCCGGAAAACACCCATTCTAGGGGCTGTTTTCGTATCAACGATTAGGGGTTGAACTAGCACTTTGAGGAGGCTGTTTAACACTAATTTCCAAGCAAGGAATCAGTTCTCAAACCTTCTTGGCCGAGGCTTTGGTCGTTGGATCGAGAAGGAAAGTTTTAAAGCTCATTTGAGGTGAGGACCGACATCTAGTTGCTTACAACTTGTAGGTTATGCATGAGATTACCTAAATGCTTAAATCATGTTTTTGTGAATAAAGATGCTTGAACATGATATGAATGATAAGTAATGGACTTGATCATGAATTGAAAACATATTGATGAATGTGGAGTCATATGAGATAGAAGTATGCTAATATGGTAAATTGACCTTTCCAACTCATGTATGAATGTTATTGTATGTAAATGTATAATTGCATGATGATGCTTAGCACATGGGAGGCTGCCACATATCTATTGATATGGAGGGGCTAACATTAAGAATAAATGAGTTGTAGGAATAATTTTAATAGTATTGTGATGCTAGTTAAGGATTGTTCTAAATGTCGATAGAATCAAACTTAAGGTTTGAGTTTGTTGTGATGAACTTGAATAAGATTCAAGTGTAAATTGTGATTTCACGGAGTAGGAGATCTGTGGTGTGTGTGTATGAAGTAGGAGATCTATGGTGGGATTGTATGAAGTAGGAGATCTATGGGGTGAATACATGAAGTAGGAGATCTATGATGCGAGTGCATGATGATGTACTCGAGCCGAACTCTAGAAATGAGAAGTTATATTAGGGTTGGACCCTATGTATGTCGTGACCATTAGTCACGGGGTTTGGGAAATGTTTTGTAATAAACATGGGCCTTTGAGCCGACTACTTGACTTTATATAAAGTATGTATATATTTTGATTAATTTGGGATTACAGCCTAAACTATATTATCACCCTATTTGAGGGTCTTGTGTGTGAAATACTTGTTGTATATCTATTAGATGCCTGCCACACCAGTACTTTATAGCCGTATAGAGTACTGACCCCTTCGGGGGCGTCCCACCACCATTTCAGGTTGAGGCTCGAGCTTGCTATCTGTGCCCGTTGCTCGGGTGATCCTTTGGAGAGAAGACGTGGTTCGTGCTTTCTCCATTCTGTTTTGAACAATATTAAACATGCTCATGGATATTTTACTACAGAACCTGCGTGCTTGTGAATAGCCCTGTGTGGCCATTTTATTTTAAACAATGTTTCCACTGCATTATGAATTACTTATTATGGTTGTTTATGGATGTTATATGTGTGAATGATATTCAAGACGCTTTGTATGATATGAATGCGTTTGATTTTGGTTGACTATTCGTATTGTACGGCGGGTTGTTGACGTGTCCGGATAGGTCCGGGGCGTGACAGAAACACTAGTATTTTATAAGGAAAAAGAAAGAGCAAGACAAATGGGAGAAACGAGAAAAAAAAGTAGGAAAAGAGAAAAAAGAAAAAAGTAACTAAGTAAAAAGAAAAAATAGGAAATGCTAAACCAAATAGGAAATAAATATTGTACATTTCAATCTTTTTCCCCTTTACTTCTTGAAAGAATGGCATGGATATTACTCTACGTCTTTCCTAAGATAACCATATGACCAAAATTGGGTTGGACAAAAAAGGCAGTAAAATTTAAGCCCCGTTAATCTTCCGTCCCTGCGCATAGTTCATCTGGCCAATCTCCCCAGATTTGTGCTTCCACCAAATATTCCTCTTCCATTACCAGATCGGCACCTCCAATCCTGCTGCTCCGTTCAAGGTAGCCTACATCGTCGCTGCTCTTGGCTGCTCCGTCGATGTTGCTCTAGGTCGCGCGCCTCCACCAGATCTGCTTCTCCTTTCTTCTTCGCCGCGTCTCGTCCCGAAGGCTATGGCATCTACAGTTCGGAGATAGGGGCCGCTATGGTTCGGCGATGATGGCGGCTACGATTCGGCGATGATGGTGGCGGCTTGGTTCGGTGATTGACGACGTCTATGAATCAGTGATGGGTGGCGACTTGCAGGTGGAGGTGCGGCGGCTGGGGAGCGTGCTATGGTTGGGAAGGTTGGCTGAACAGGTGCTAGCCGCTGGGAAGGGCGTTGGGGATGGGATCTTTGGTCGGGTAGGTGACGGAGGAGCAGGGGAAGGGGACTGGAGTGCAGCCGTGCGTGGGCAGGGGAGGGGATGGGGTGCAGGGGAGGGGGCTGAGCTGGGGTAAGAGGTTGTAGGCGGTCTCACGTGATGGTGGTGGTGTTGAGGCGACATGGAGTTGGTTTCCAGCTAAAATTTTGATAGGAAAAGTTACCAGAAAATTTTCCGGCAAAACAGTGACACGACTTCCGGTATAGTGACACGGGCGGTGGCCGCAGTGACACGAGGTGGTGGTTACAGTGACACAGGCGGTGGTTACAGTGACACGGGCGGTGTTACAGTGACATGAGCAGTAGCGGCAGTGACATTTGATGATAGTGACATTAAAACAAGATAGTGACATCAAAATCCGGGAATGACATTAATATGACCTTCTTGATCACTTTTTTGCCTCTTTTTAAAAGTGCTCACTTTTTGTGTAATTGGTTCAAAATTAGTAATATTCAAATAAAAAACCCTTACTTCTTCCCTTCCTTAAATGTATAATAAAGAAATAGTAATTAATGATGTGTTTTTTTCATCCGGAAAAAATATCTACCATTTAAATTTTACTAAAAATAGAAGTTGAAATTTTATTGTGGGACATTAAAAAAAACACAGCGAGAATTTGATCGTGGAAAGGATGAAGCATACGCTCAGTATATATAATAAGAAAATACGAAGTATAAATGTAAATGCAAATATGAATATAAATACAAAGTGATGTTATGGAATGTTTTTCAACGACAAAGCGGATTCAAACAACAACATTAAGTCAAGATCGTTAATAACTTTTTTCTTTCTTAGAAATATTTCTAACATTTTTTTCTACGTAACGTGGGATTGTATCTAGACATAAGAAATCGTTCAGTTAATTCATTAATTATGATGAAAAGTTTATTCACGTCTTAAATAGTCAATTAATTAAATACATTCAAGACGATAAGGAACTCAATCAAATTAGTATATCTATTCATAAGGAAATGAAATGATCAGTAAGCTCGTATGCTCATTAATTAGTACGTAGTAATTACTACGAGCTTGCGGATCTCTTCTTAAATAGATTATTCAGAACTCATACATAATAATAACGGATATGATATTTGAAACTTAATTATTGTCTAAATTAAGTTTGAAAACACTTTAAAAGGAATACTCCGTATTACTATTGAACTTTTCGGATTATAAAATATGAATTAATTCCAAATATCTAATCAAAATAAAAGTAATGAACAAAAATGTGATCCAATAACTTGTAGTTATAATAATTGTATTAAAATTTTAGATTATAGTGACAATAAAACTTACTCATAGTAATTTATAGTCACATTTTGTCCATGTATTTTATTTTATTAGCGTGCCCAATTAAGAACTCTATTAATACCACTAAAAAAACACTCTATACATCCTTATCAAAATTAGGCTACAAATACCCAGAACCGACCAGATAGTTATCTGGAGAATGTAAATTGAGTTTTTATCAAACTCTTATGAAAAAATTAGTGGGGTTCCATCCAAGTCATTGCTTGGAGTTAAAATCAAAATCGCTACTTTGTGACACCCTCTTCTTACAGGTGAGCTATACCTCCCGGTTCAAAAAATCTTATAAAATCCTACATGATGACACCCCATTAGAATCACTTCTGAGTTCTGAATGTTTATAATTCATATTAGTTTCTTAAATTGACAGATAACTCACTCTTACCGTCACTCTACAAAACCATACATGAGATTTTCACCTCATATGGCTCCTCGTTCAATTATTTGGAATTAATTGGATCTCTTTCTAGGTTCAAGAATTGCCTTCCCTCTTAGGCTCTTACACTCCACCGGTCCACCCTGAAGATGAACTAGGCCCCGTTAAGTCTCGTTTTCATATTTACCATCAAATCCATACAAAAATAATAAAATATACAAATGTAAATATCAAAATAAATACAAGTATACACATAAATGTAAATATAAAGACAAACAGAGTAGTGTTCCTGTCAGGACCTCCAAAAATGGACCTCTGTACGGACCTCGGCGTTTGGGCCCCTTCCCGGTGGAATTTTTTGATGAAATTTTTTGAGCATTTTCTTCATCAAGTCTAGTTTACTCGTACCAAATTTCAGCTAAAAATTCCATCAGGAAGGCAATCAAATGATTTTTTGAAGTTAACTGCGCACTTTATATACTACATCCGTCCCAAATTGATTTGCAAATTTGACTTTTCTTGGTCAAACAGTTTCATTTTACTCACTTAATTACGATGTCAATTTTTAATTATATTCTAATTTAGAGTTTGCAACTTTGAAGAGATTTTAATGTAGTTTCTGAATATGTAAATTTTAATTATTAAAAATTGAATTAATTATCGATATGGAGCATTGACTTTTATTATTGGTTGACAAAAAAATGTTGACTTTGCAAAACAATTTGGGACGGAGGGAGTACATATAAAATGCAGTTAACTTCCAAAAATTATTTGATTGCCTTCCCGATGGAATTTTTAGCTGAAATTTGGTACGAGTAAACTAGACTTGATGAAGAACATGCTCTCAAAAAATTTCATCAAAAAATTCCACCAGGAAGGGGCCCAAACGCCGAGGTCCGTACGGAGGTCCATTTTTGGAAGTCCTGACATGAACTTTCCTCAAGACAAACATACACATAAACATAGGAAATACGTACAACTACAAACTTATTTAGTTTAATTTGTAATGATTGGATTTCAAGTTTCAACCATATAAAATAGAGATTCACTTTCGTTAAAGTATAGTTTTATAAAATGGCAAAATTGGTCCGGGATTAAGATATCTGTTAAAACAACATAAACCGAAACACACACAATGATTCATATTTCCTTGTTCAAATTAATTAAGTAAATCCTAACTTTATTATCTTAAGACTCTTCACTTTCATTCAAAGAATAGCATGGTGGTGAAAAATCATTGGAACTCAATGACAGCATTTTAATAAAGAAAATTCAAGTCAAGAACCCCTAGGTAGAGATCAAAGCACTATGTTCAAAGCAATACACATGAAGCTAACCTTAGCTTTGATTCAAAGTAATTATACTAAACTTAAACTCACAATATGGTGAGCTAAATGGGAAAATTGGGAAAAACTACATTAAGTTAAAATAATTTCTCATGAGATTTACGGAGTAGCTCACAATAGCTCTGTAGCTGTAAATGAGCCCTGCATATAATTTCTATACTCAACTTATTTTTAAGGTTCTTACTTCTTAGCGCTTTTTACAGGTATGGGCCGTATGGCTCCAACTTATATAATTAATTTGGATCAATAATTCATTCCTAAATCATGAGAATTTATGCATTGAATTTATTCGCAAGAGAATGTCCGTTGCTGGCATACAAAAGTTTAGAATAATTAGCATATACCAAAACACAAATAAAACAGGACATTTACATCAATAAGAGAATAATGGTGACACTAAAAATGGAAGGTGAGAAAAAATGCCAATCTCCCTTTATATTCTTATTTGAAATGTTGATGATGATAAGAAAATACATCATCATCGCCACCGCCAAAATTAGCTCTTCTCCTGTACAATATACAAATAATTCGTACAATCATTGGCAAAAAATCCAAAGAAAATAATAATAAAAAAAGGAATCCTTTCTATATTTCTGTTTTAACGTTTTACCTCCTTCCAGCAAGATAAACGAGAAAAAAAATTTGGAAATCTGATCTTCAGCAGCGTCCCTCCAACCCAGCTCTGAGTATAACGACGAACTCGCCCAGAAATCAGATCACTGAGTCACTGACCCGCTCCATATTCTCCTGTATTTTTTTATATACGATACAATTTGAGGCAGACTCTTTTTCTTTTTTGTTACCATAATTCATGAATCGAAAGAAAATGGAGATTTCAACAGATCATATGGGGCCCACAGAGCATCCAAGGGGCAAGGCCTGTTAGCGTCCAGCCGGACCCACGGCTTCCCTTTCCCACTCCAATGGAGAAGACTCACCGGTCCGGGATGCAAATCGCGGCAGAGCCCCCGGAAGTTGTCTCCCCCCAGCCCGTGCTGGTTCCACCGGTGATCTACCGGAGCTATTTTCCCGGCGAAGACTAACAGAAACGGCGGTAGCGAGCCCAGCTCGTAGATCCTGATTCGCTTCTGTAACTCCATCCATTCCTCGATCTTCGTCGTATAGTCCCCTGTTCTCCACCGATCGAGATCTATCACCATAACCCCCGTGTTGAAGTAGCAGGCGTTCCGATTCGCGAAGGTGAGGGAGAGGGAGGGGTTTGACCAGAACGTCGGCGTGAAATAGGATGTGAAATTCGCGTTGCAGTACTCCGGCGCGGCGAGGACTCGGTTTTCTCCGAGAGGCGTGGCGGCGAGCTTGGCAATGTCGTCGACGAGGACCAAATCGGAGTCCAGGTAGACGACCTTCCTGACGCAGAGCGGCAAAATGTTGGCCAAGTAGCTGCGGGCGTAGTTCAGCGGACAGTCCAGCGCGGAGCGGATGGAGGTGGAGATCAGCCCCGCGACGGAGGAATCGTCGAACCGGTACACCTGAAACCTGAGAAACGGGAACGAGGACGCGATCGTGGCGCGTAGCAGCGACGCGTCCGCGGAGGCGGAGGCGACGAAGTGGAAGACGACGTTCTGGGGACAGGACGAGTGCTGGAGGATGGAGAGGATCGCCGCCATGGAGCCGCGGATGTAGGCGGCGTCGAGCGTCATCGCGACGTGCACGGCGGCATCGGAGCATATGTAGGCGGCGTCGTTGTGTTTAAAGTCGGGATTGACCTCGATATCAGTTGCGGAAATCACGGAGGGGCACTCAGGGGAGTTGTAAAACTCCGGAGCTTCACGGAATGAGCCGGAGATCGGAGCGGCGGCGGCATTGGCCGGAATGAGGAGGAAAGAGAGGAGGAGGAGTAGGTGGAGGCGACGGCGACAGTGGGGGACGAGTGGCGGTGGATGTGTCTTAAGCCCCATGTGGACGGAGAAACTTTATTAGCTCCTCTATTTTGTTTTCTTATATAATTGGGAATGATGACCTTATAGAAGGAAAGGAACTAAGGAAGAAGGATTTATTATTTGAATATGTATATATTGTTGGAACGAGTTAAAAAGGGGAACACGGTTTTGAGGATATATGAGAAATTTAAAAATGAAAATCAACGGAAAGAAGAGTCTAAGCACGTTCATATATACGGGTATATGTCTCACAAGTGCATCAAATTAGGCTAGACTTCGTCATCAATTTTTATTCTTTAATACTATCCTCCGTCTCTTTTTAATCGCAACATGTTGAATTTTACACTATTCACATGTTCTACTTTGACTACATTTTATACTATTATTTTATGAAAATTATTTTTTTTAAATTATATTTTTCAATTCATCTCATTACAAATTTTCAAAATCCAATTTTGAAATATTTTTTACTAATAAGGATTAAGATATAATTACGGTCAAAGATGTGCGTTGGCAAATGTGAAATGTTGACTGTTGCAACTAAAAAAGAACGGAGGAAGTATAAAAGTGCATGAATTTAGGCTTGTTAGCTAAACAATGAATAAATCACACATGCAATATATACATATATAATTGTATTCGTATTTATATAATATATATACGAGTGGGTAGTCAAACTCGAATTGAAAGAAAGATACAAGGAATAAAGGTTCCAAACTTAACTCGATTATTATTCATTTTTTTGTATTTTGTGTAGAGATAAGGTAATATGAAATAATATGGTTGTTCAACAATGTTGAGAGCTTTACATTAACATTATATTTATAATGGGGTAGTTTTTGACATCTTAAAATAACCTTAATATTTCCATTATTATAATGTTTTTAATTACACTGCAATTTTCTAGGCTGATCTAATACATTTTTACTTTACATCTATGAAAATCTGGTCTAATAATGTTTTTAGGTATGGTCACTATGGTCTGATCTAATAGAAACTTACTTTACATTCATCAACGAGACTGAAACTGATCCGGTCAATTAAAAGCACCTTTACACTCTCACGCTATATGGGGAAATTAAATCACACTTAGGTTTGAGTTCATCTATGAAAAATGTTGAGAAGCTAAATTACTAGGAAGATCTCCATATGGATACTTGCAGCTCACAAACAAAATGGTTGTTAATTATGTGTTTGCTGCAACGATCGTGATGAATAAGATTAAATCCGGGAAGAAGAGCTTAGTTTTCCTCATTAATTTCATGAAACGAGTCCTATCAGCAGACATAAACAATGTCTAAAGATGATCCTAGATAACAGCGGAATGATTTAAATCACAAATCTCCATCAAAAAATAATTGGAAACCGGAGCATAGACTACTCTGAATAAACATTTGTATTCATAGCTCATTGGAATACTGCTAGTGGTATGTAGAAAGAAGTGATAGTTAAGCATATAGACAGAACTGAAAGATACCTGATAATAAATGAGTTTCCAACCCCTTAAATCTACTCTTTAGAGAATATTTATATCAGTAATAAATGTTAGGTGCATAGGTGCATTAAATGTAGTTACATGTGTAAGCTAGTCTATGGGCAAAAGCTCTGCTATGCGGCAGGACGTGATGTGTGGCGCTCACTGATAATCTATTGAGCGGTGGGCGAGGTGCTTGGACCTTCGCCCCTGATACTCTTCTGCCTGGGATGAACTTTTTCTGGGATGTGGCAGGACAAAGTGTTTGGGGGGCAAGGGGGCATGTACGAACCAATGTCCGTGTAGTGCGCCTGCAATCTGATTCCATTGTTTTTGACTGCTTCTGTCCGTATGAACCCTCATCTAGCGGAGAAGGGTAGTCCAGATGGTTTCGAACCACTTGTGTACTTATGAGTATGTCGGTCGTAGGCCTAAGCTCATATACTATATCATTTATCTACTCCATGCATACTATGACCGCGTCCCTAAAATAAGTATCCGTCCGATTACCATTAGTAGACTTTTAGAAATAAGTTTTCACAAAGACATATCATAGTTGTCTATAAACACGCAAATCAATGTTGATCACAGACAATTGCAATAATTTTCTGTGTGACAATTTATATGTTTTCATATGTATTTCTTCACACAAATACAAGTAGTCACTAACCTAATTATTTGGGACACAATTATTGTTGAATTACATCACGAACCAGATTCAAAGGGCAAAAGAAAGGTACAACTTTATATAATTACAATTCACAAACTTCGTTTTCCTTGTGCCAATGACTGAACAGGAAAGAAGAAAATAATATGGTCAGTGTGGATGAGTAGATAGTCAGAAATGGAGCTGACTTCACATTCAGCATACTTGGACGTACCAGCGTCGGTGAAAACTACTAGTCTGCAATATTAAGTTATAATCACTTGAATTGCTTCCACGTCTATGAAAGTGTACAAACCAAGTGATTTATTTCCGTCTTAATTGCACACCAGAACGTAGCCTTCTCCCTTATACGTACAGCCACTATTTTCAGGTAAACAAAACGACATTTCCTCGAAGCTAAGGTTTCAAATCCGTCGTTGCAAGGGTTAGGTAACGAGTTTGATTTAGTCATTGCTTAAATGAGTTGATCTCGATGTTCGAAGCAATTGATTAATTTTATATATTGAAGATTTGTATTTTGAATAAGTGAATAACTATATTAATTATACATAGATTCGCTTTAACTAACCTTTCTTTGCAATATCATCTAAACTTTTGGGAATTCATCGCCTAGTGTTGCTATATATCCAATATTGAAATTAGCATTGGTAATTTGACATACGTATATTATTTGTAGGTATTATCATATTAAGTACTTCGTAGTAGTTATTAGGATGTTTTTACTTGGACTGTAATCCGTTCCGGATTAGACCAGACTTGGATAGTTATAAAAATACAAAGAGACCAGACATTACCAAACCATAGTAGACTAGATCAGGCCAGAACAGACCAAACCAGCAAATTAAAGTTCAAGTAAAAACATCCTTAGTGTTGTTTGATATATAATATGTAGTATGTCTTTTAAGGATCATGATCCTCTGCCATAAGGCAGAGTGCCTTGCGGCATCCGACGGCAGGGAAGCGACCAAGAGGACCTACCTCGAGATCGGTTAAGGGGTGGAGCCCAAGATTATCTTCGGCCATCCAATTTACGATCGAACAGCCCGGAAGAGCCAGGCACCCTGCTTTGCTTTAAAGCAACGCAGAGGCTCCAGATCCATCTTCTAACTAGTACGGAGTAATATTTTTAGTGCATGTATTCAATCATGTTTAGTGTACACATTGACTTGTACTTTATATACACCTCCAAAATAAATACTATCGCATAGGCATGGCCTCGGTTCGGCCCGCCCGGCCCGGGACCGGCCCGACCCGCTACTGTGCGGGCCCGCCCCGGTTTTCCGGGTCCGGGTCCGGTTCGGGCCGGAGGCCCGGGGGTGGGGCGGTTCCGGGCTCGGTTCATGGGTTTGACGGCCCGGCCCGGCCGGTTTGGGGCCCGGGTCCGGGCCAAATCTATTTTTTTTTTAATTTTTTTCATTTTTTTTGGGCTGTTGGGCTTGGGCTATCTGTTTAGGCCGGTTTGGGGGGGTTTGGGGGGGTGGGGGGGGGGGGGGAGAAAGGAAAAAAAAACAAAAAAAAAAATCGGGTGGCCCGACCGGCCCGGCCCGGACCCGGGACCGCCCTACCCCGGTTCGGGCTCGGGCCTGCTATTACTGAACCGAGGCCCAGCCGGGCCTAGGCCCGAACCGGCCCGGTTCAGTCCACCACTACTATCGCATAATTCTACCGACAAGTAATCTCTTGCCATAAAACCTATTACTTCGTGAAAAATGTTTGGTGTACACGTTTTCGTGTACACGTTTGGTACACTTGTCTGTCTAGACAAACAGAATTATCTGTATACAGACAATTCTGTAGGGCATCACTCCAAATTATCTATAAGTATTACGAGTATTTAAGAATTACCAGTTCCATTTAACATATAATTAGGTCTGTGGCGGATATATCAAGCCTCGTAATGAAACCAAACATTAGAACTAAGTATAATTGTTAAAACTCGGTGTTCCATCCTAAAAGATCATAGGAGGAGTAGCGCCCCCTCAGCCCAAACTAGACTAGACAATATCGGGGTGTACATAAACGGGCAAAATTCTTCATTTTTAATGAGCTATCCTTAATCATGAGCGGTAAACAACAATCAAACCAAAACAGAATATGGCTCTAATAAAAAGCTAAGAATCAGAGTTTCATACTATCAAGTCAACCTGATAGAAGAGTAGTTCAAGATTTTATATAGTGTTTTATTGTTTAACATAATCCCGGCGTGTGACAAATGTATCGACAATAACCCGATCCGACTTGTCAAATTCATATTCGAACCAATTAGCATTATCCAAAATAAATATGCATTGTTGCGCCGGTAGTGTATAATTAAGGCGCAGTTTGATATTACACCACATACAGATTTCATTCTACTATCTTTGTCCCAGTTTTCTCATTCATCCGGTTGAAAACGAGATTTTTAGGTCCATTTTTTGTTTGTAAATAATGTATTTTGCTATGTAATATATACTCCATCAATTTATTATCTTAATTTCCTTTTTGGGATGTCCTAAAATAATTATTTTCTTTCCTCTTTTGACAATAATATGTGGCTCATATCAATTCACATTTTCTCTACTTAGAGCATCTCCAATGCTACAATGTGCACGGTGCACATGTGTCATGAAAGAGATAGACACAAAAAATTAAATCTATGACATTTTTCTCTCATTGTTTCCACGGTTTTATGTGTTTTTGATAAGTTTTCCTCTGCAATGTCAAGCACAATGTCTACATCTAGACATGTGCTTGACATTGTGAAGAAAAACTTATTAAAATGATACAAGATCCTTCAAATAAGGAGATAGATATTCTATTTATTATTTTTTAATTAGCTATCTCTTATGCCACGTTTGCACCATTCACATTTTAGTATTGCAGATGCTACAGGAAGTTTTTCTTGTGACATGGTGTGACATTTTTCTCCATTTAAAGCATTTTTTTTCGTTTTATCAAGAGTATTCCAGCTCGATTGCGGAAACGTTGTTAGCTGTATCAAATTAAGTTTTTTTTAGGAAAGTATTAAACTAAGTTAAAAGGCGCTTATAAGCTTATTAATTTAATTATGGTAGAGATTG